ATAAAATATGAAGAATCTGAAGAACGTTACATGAAGGCAATAATAGACTACATTATACTTTAGTATAGAAGAATGATGCAATATTTAAATATATGTGAAATTAACTATCTGGGGTTTTTTTTGTGAAAATTATAGTTTTTCACTTGTCCATTGAACAAATATTGATTGGACATCTATTATGTGCTAGGATAAAAATAAAAGGATAAAAATAAAGGTAAGAACTTATGCCCTCATGGAACTTAAAATCCCATAAAAAAAAATCATCCAGTTTACACCCCATTATTTAAAAATTTAACATTTTTATAGGAAGGAGAAGATATACAATTGACAGTTCATTTTCTTTTTTTTTAATCTTTTTTAAAAGATTATCCAGTATTATTCCTCATAATGAAAAAGATCTTTCCAGTCAAGAAAATAAACTCTAGTGGCAAATAAAAAAGGACTAAAGTAAAAATAAAATGAGATTTTACTTAAGCTCCTTGTAATTTTAAATTTTTATCACATAATTATAAATTAAAACAATCTTTATGGGGGGGGGAGAGCTTAATAACATTTGTCCCAAGTCTTAAAACCACATATTTTAGTGTGGTAATTCCACTTCTAGGAATCATAAATGCAAAGATTTGGATATAAATGTGTGTATAATCATTTTAGAGAAAAACAAAAAAAACCCCAGATATTTGAGAAGAAGGATAAAACAATTACAGTTCATCCACATAACAGTCTATTATACAGTCATTAAAAAGATGTTTGCTGAGAAATGTTAAAGTAAAATGTTTACCATATAATTTTAAGTGAATAAAGCAAAATATAAAACCCTATGTATCCTAAAATTAACTATATGCACAGAAAAACAACCTATCAAAATTTTAAAAATCTATTGGAACTACAATAAAATGTTAACAGTTGTTATTTCTGGGTGAAAAATTGAAATTTCAAAATTTTCAAAGTCAAAGATTCTGAGGATTCCTGTGGTAAAGAAATACATTTGATTTTAATTACCAATCAACTGTAAAATGTATTTGACTTTTAATACACCAATTTGGTATAATCACCAATTCACAAGTGCACAAAAAGGAAACATTAAATTCAAGTAAGTGGCTAACACTTGTGGTCTCCTGAAATTAATAATGCATTATATTGTAATTGGCAATATTCCCATCTTAAGACATTTCTTTTAAACTTAAATATAACTAGGCAAGTGTGATTTACAAGTTTTAATTTCACACACTGAAATTTTTTCTCAAAAGATGTTGAATGCTTAATTTACTATTAAAAAATGTTCACAATTAACTACCTACTTGAGACAGGTTTTCTATAGCAAAGTTAAGTAGTAAACCTTCTGCAGAAATAATCTGGAGATATTTTTGTCGATGTAATAGTCTGACAGCAGAAGAGTAAAGTTTAGGAATCCAATTATAGAAATGTTGACTTCTCAGGAAAATTTTATAATCTGAAGTGAACATAAAAAGCAATGTAAAAAAGTATTTTGACCAGGGCTAATCACTCTGGAGCTCATGAGTAACATCACAGTACACCATGGCCTTAGGCCAAGTAATAAAGTGCCAAATGGAAAATGGCACAAGTCCATGGATTGTAAATACTGTATCAAAAGAAAATAAAGGAAAAAAAAAAAATCTTTCATTAGAGCAATTAAAAATGCAGTTGTAGTACCAGTTCCTTTGATGAATAAATCAGTTCAGCAATTCCAAGAGTGGACAGCCACTGCTTAAACACATTCTCCATTGGCAGTAATTTTTTTTTTTTTTTAAAGATTTTATTTATTTGACAGAGAGACACAGCGAGAGAGGAAACACAAGCACAGGGAGTGGGAGAGGGAGAAGCAGGCTTCCCGCTGAGCAGGGAGCCCGATGCAGGGCTCGATCCCAGGACCCCGGGATCATGACCTGAGCCGAAGGCAGACGCTTAACGACTGAGCCACCCAGGCGCCCCGGCAGTAATTTTAAGTTTAAAAAACTTACTGTTTCTTTAGTTCCTAAACTTTTTTAAACACTAAAGTGTTTTTGGATGGTGCAGTTGGTTTAGAACCATATCACCCAAAATTTTCACATGTGGCATTTGATGACCTCTACTTGACCCATTATTTGATGCGAATAAAATACAGGTAAATACTACAAGTAAAAGTATTCATACCAATGTGCCCAAACTTTAGACCATAAATTCCAAAGAAATGGAAAACTTCTACTAATCCAACATCAATCATTCATTATTCCATAATTCCAGTTGTCAAATTATTCATACTAAATAAGCACATTGTGTTACACAGCTTTGGTAAAACCCCAAAGTTAAGCTGTAAATTCATTAGTGAATTTGAAAAAGTTTCAAAAAGAATTTAAAATCACATAAAGCTGCCTAAACTAGAAGCTAGTCTTTGGGGATGTTCCTGTCTCTAGGGCACTGTTTCCCACCTTAATTTACAAAACAATTGTGTTCTGTAAGAAGTTAACAAGAGTCTTTGCCACATAAGCTTTTGCTAACTACCATAAAACCTAGTGGCTCAAAACCACAGACATTCGTCATTTCTGACAATTCTAAGAGTTAACTGGGTGGCTCTTCTGGTCTGGGTAAACTTCTGGCCTGGGGTGAGACAGTTAAGCACGGTGTCCGTCACATGTGTGACAATTGGCAGAGTGGCTGCAAGGAGGGGATCTCTGCTAAGAGGGCTCACTTCTGCTCCACATGGTCTCTCATCTTCCAAGACACAGTTTTCTTAGCATAACTAATTCTGGGTTTCAAAGAGCAGCAAGAAAAAGCAAGCCCCAGTGCTTTTAAGCCTGATTGCATCATGATTGCTAATATTCTATTAGCCAAAGCAAGTTACATGGCCAAGTACAAATTCAAAGGATGGAAAGCTTGACTTCATCTCTTTTATTCTGGGAGCTACAAAGTTGCTGTGCAAAAAGGGCCAACATACAGTGATGGGAAGAATCTGCCGTCATTGTTTTTGCAATCTACCACACTGTAAAACGCAGAAGGTATCTGCTCCACACGGTCCAGGGCCAAATAAGTTTCCGTAATAGCTCTCTTTTGACACTGAAAAGCTCTGCAGCAAAGAAATACAACTGATTTTATTTAAACCAGTATTTCCCAGACTTATTTGGCTACAAAACACATTTTCCAAGAACATTCTTACAAGTAAAAACAAAAAAAGCAAAACAAAATAACAAAAAAAAGTGAAAACAAATCCACTGATTTTGCCCCACTATATCATTCCACACAGTCTATTCCACTGACTTAATACCCTTTTAGTCTCTTTAAGTTTTTGGGGGGTTTTTTTGTTTGTTTGTTTTAGCTTACAGCAATTAAAAAAACATTAGTTAATGACCAAGAGAACTATTAATATATATACAATGGGGCAACGGCCACAAAACTATGCCTGGCTCTCTAAAAAGGCTCTAAGTTTTCAAATAACTGTAATGTTAGAGCTAGGGAGTATCTCGGAAGCAATAAGACTAACTCAAAAAAGAAAAACTAATGGAGTGGTATGACTGAAGCAAAGGGAAAGAATAGTCACAAAATTCCATTCTTCCATCAGAGCTCTCCTAGAACTGTCAGAGAGCAATCTGTAAACTTTCCTCAAGTTACACTAAGATATAAACATCCTAATGATCAAGCCAAATTTAACAGTCCATTCCCTATCCCAATATAATGTAGGACATGCCGTCAATGCTTTCTTTCAATGTTCATTTTCCAGAAATATTAATATATTCAAAGAGAATTATAAGGCCATTTTTTTCCAGAATGTTAGGCCCACTCGGGTGATAACTTAGCAGATGATTCACCCATAAAAGGTAGCTTCTGTTGCCCTTGTGGTGATTTGACTGTGTGTGAACTCTGCAAAGCATGTCAATGATGAAGAAAATGTAAAGGAACCTGAGGAAACACCAGGCATCAATAGTAGAGGCATCATAACTAGAAGATTTTTTTTGTCCTAAAATGAGCCTAGTAGACATTTTCTTTTAAGAGTAAATATACAACGAGCATAGAACCCAGGAGTTGCACTCTTGTGCATTTATTCCAGAGAAATAAAAATTTACATTTACACAATACCTGCACATGAATGTTTATAGCAGGTTTATTCACAATCATCCCCAACTAGAAACAGACCAGATGTCCTTCAACAGATGAATGGTTAAACAAACTATGGTACAGCCATACCACGGCATACTACTCAGCAGTAGAAAGGAACAAACTACTGTTGCACATAGCAACTTGGATGAATCTCCTGGGAATTACGCTAAATGGGGAAAAACTAATACTAAATGGTTGCTACTATACAATTCCATTTTATAGCACTTCTAAAATGACAGAATTTTATGGGGCGCCTGGGTGGCTCAGTCGTTAACCGTCTGCCTTCAGCTCAGGTCATGATCCCAGGGTCCTGGGATGGAGCCCCACATTGGGCTCCCTGCTCCGCGAGGGCCTGCTTCTCCCTCTCCCACTCCCCCTGCTTGTGTTCCCTGTCTCGCTGTGTCTCTGTCAAATAAATAAATAAAATAAAATCTTTAAAAATAAATAAATAAATAAAATGACAGAATTTTAGAAATGGGTGCAGGAACAAGCTAAGTATAGTTATGAAGGGGCAAAGCAAGGGATCATTATGGTGATGGAACTATTCAGTATCTTGATTCTGGTGATGGACACACAAACCCTTATAAGTAATAAAACTGCACAGAACTAAACACACACACACACACACACACACAGTACAAGTAACACCATGGAAATCTGAATAAGATCAGTGGTTATATCAATATGAATACACTGCTTGTGATCCTGTAGTATTGTTTACAAGATGTTACCACTGGGGGGAAAGTAAGTGAAGAATACAAGGATCTCCCTAAAGTATTTCTTACAACTGCACTGAAGCTCTAATTACATCCATAAAAATTTTAATTTAAAAAGAAAGTTTTTTTAAAGTTTAGTCTAGGTAGGTTCTTTCCCTGGAGTCTCAGTTTCTTTCAGAGTTCAATTCCAACAGTGTAGCTAGCATGGGAGTACAAATGGCTTACATTTGGTACATCAATTGCTACTTCCCTCATGGCACTGGGCCTGATGTCATTCATCCCCTGTAAGAAATCATTTAGAGTAATCTTCACCAATCCAGCCAGCTTGCTATCAGAGAGATTAGGTTGTTTCTTCAGGACTCTCCTTAAGGCATAAAGACCTGTAAAGAGAAAAATAATACAAGATTTATCTTCTGCCCCATAAATACAGACTAAATCATTACCAAAAAATGAATAATGAACCCAAACTTCACACATATTATAGCATTTAAAATTGTGTGTGCTTGTGTGTGTATATATGGAGGTGGGGGGAGGTGCCTGACGAATATGGGAGATGAAGGCAAAACTCCAAATGCTTAGTTTGCGTGGTAAAAATATGACAAACTGATATGAAATATGAAAAGACAGATACTTTATAAACATGAAATAATACTTACAAAACAACATCTGCAAAAAAAACTATTAAAGAGTTATCTAAATAACCTAGAGAATAACACACCTCTTGCCTCTGCCCTTTTTATTCACAAATTCAACCCAGTTATAAATTTTGTAAGGTACTGGCAGAACATCTTAAAGGAAATATTCAGCAGTTGGAAACTGGTTTTGGAACTCAAGAAAGAATCCAACTTTAGAGTTGTGTGCATACACATGAGATCTGGTATTACAGGAATAGCAGAGACCTATAAAATGAGACTGGAAAGAGACCAGGGATGAAAGAATGAGAGCTAAAGTCTCAATCTTAAGAAAGCCTATCATTTGAAAAGCATAAGAAGAAATGATGGTTTTAAAAAAAGACAGAATACAAAGAGATGGAGGAGTGGAATCAGAATAGTAAAATACTGCAGGAGCCAAAAAGATGTTCAACCAAGTCAAATTTAGAGAAATCAAGAATACCTTAAAAGAGATCATGCTGACCTGGAAAGTGACAGATGCAAATTATTTGTTTTTGCTATTTGCTTGCAGTTTAAACCCTGACAGAACTAAATGTCCTAATTCCCCTTCCTTCACAGCTAAGTTGCCAGATTTAGAGCCCTTTGATCTGTGACAAAGACCTCTAGGCAGCAAAGTCCCTAGCTATGTGCTCTTTGCCTTGGCGTCTTTAATAAAGTGAGACTTTTGTGTTCCAGTGAATGATGAAGGTCCACTTAGAAGAATTCTGGTCTCAGAGACCCCTTAGAAATTCAGCCTAAATATCCAAACTTGTCCTAGGACAGGAGCTAGCTCCATAATGTTAACGGTCTTTTGTCTAAAACATGGATGCTATGCCTCCGTGAAATTTTTTACAAAGATAAAATGATACCATAACTATCATTTTACTTGCTTTCATTTATTTGAACTTTTACAGAGAAACAGAAGCATTGATACAAGGAAAGCAGACACAAACTCCCAAAACAGAAGGCTAGGTATCTTTGCTAGTAAGAAAAAAAAGGGAGTATCTCAACAATATTGAGAAAATCGATCTATAGTAATCTTTCCCAGGAAACTATCAATTATTTTCAATGTGAGGAAGGGGTTTGGAAAAAAAGACAATATATTGTTTTGAAAAGCATATACAATATTATAAGTGTATATTTATGAAATAGCAAAACATCTGTGATTTCAAATGCAAACTACAGAATTTAGAGCTGGGCAAAAATTTCTACATCTATGAAGATAGCAAGAAAAAAACAAGTAACTCCCAGCCAAAGACAGGAAAGGCAAAAAAATAAAGACAGGAGTTTTCAAAAGTTAAGAAATAGTAAAACAGAAAGACTGATTCTGTTATGAACATATCCAAATGATAGATAACATATATTTACCTACTATTTCTCACATAAATTTAAAATTAAAAGACGAAAGTGAGCCACTACTGAGCCTATCAGTCAAGAGTTGAAAAATAAAGGTTTGAAGTAAAGTCATTCAAGCTAGTAAAGACAGTAGATTAAATCCAAGCACTTACTTTTGCTCCCTCCTAAAACCCCACTACAATGAGTATAAGGGGACTTTTTTTAAAGAAACATAAACCTGGAAGGGCAAACAGGAGAGAAAACAATATAATAGCAACAAAAATTTTGGAAACTGAACAGCAAATGAACAAGTAGTAACTGAATATAACTGACCCAGGAAAGCTGACACACTAACATACAGTGAGAAAAATCTGAGAGGAACCAGATTTATGCCAAGAGATGCCCCTCCTATTCACCCTACCCACGTATAATCAAAAAAGCTCGAAGTTGGACAGCATAAATCACTTCTGGGAAAAAAAAAAAAAAAAGAGAGAGAGAGAAAAATCAGGGTTAGAAATAGAAAAATGGAAGGTTAGGAGAGAAGTCTATTAGGAAGCAGTTAGATCATTAAGATCCCCACCCTAATTGCATGGAGTCAAATATCTTCTCCTGTACCCTACCTCTAAAGATGTCTTCTCTCAGTAACACAAACCATTTCTGAATTGAGGGGACCCAAAGTACAGCCAGAGACAAGGGAATCATATTGAATAGAGAAATTAGTGAGACTCCCCTCCCTCCTTCTCCACTCTGCTCTTCCCCACTGCTCCCAGAGTTTACTATCAGGATACACCTACCACATATGTAGGTAAAAGATCCTTCTACAAAGGTACCAGCCCAAGAGGAAAGACTAAGGATACTGACGGGTTCATTCACCCAAGGAAAGGGCCCATGCAGAACTCACTACACGGAAGACCACAAGCTCACAAGCCCCAGCAATTCAGACCACCTAATCAATTTTTAGGAACTCCACTCTCAAATATGAGAAAACACCCGAAGATCACCAGATATCTAAGGATGCCTTCTAACAAGCACTGTAAAGAAACAAAATACATAGAAAAAAAAAAGCAACATAGAAGAGCCAGCGATAATGTAAGAAGAAACAAATACAAGAGCAGTGGTGCCCTGAAAGATGATTTGGGTAATTTAAGGACTGCAAGCAGTTGGGACCTAGAGAAAGGCTAGCAAGTTTTTGCCTCCCCTCCCCCAAAAAAACCAAGAACTATTCTTTAAATAGAGGTAAAGAATCTGTTCAAGATGAGTTTCTAATGAAGTAGTAAGATCAACAAGAGATGCTGAGCAGAGGCTGAGATAACCCCAGAGCCCACTATGACCATGTAGAGGTAGCAAGGAAGGGAGCATGCAGTTAGTATGAAAGAGTACACAAAACACTCTACTTCTTTCTTGTAATTGTCTTCCTTTTCTGTTAATTTCTGCCCAATCTGTATTAAATATTTGTTTTCTAGAGCCTATTATTCTTTTTTTAAAGATTTTTTAGGGGCGCCTGGGTGGCTCAGTCGTTAAGCGTCTGCCTTCGGCTCAGGTCATGATCCCAGGGTCCTGGGATCGAGCCCCGCATCGGGCTCCCTGCTCCGCAGGAAGCCTGCTTCTCCCTCTCCCACTCCTCCCCCTGCTTGTGTTCCCTCTCTCACTGTGTCTCTCTCTGTCAAATAAATAAATAAAAAAAATCTTTGAAAAAAAAAAAAAAAGATTTTTTAATTTATTTATTTGCCAGAGCAAGAAAGCACAAACAGGGGTAGCTGCAGAGGGAGAAGGAAAAGCAGGCTCCCCGCTGAGCTGGGAGCCCTATGTGGGCCTCGATCCAGGACCCTGGGATCATGACCTGAGTCGAAGGCAAACGCTTAACCATCTGAGCCACCCAGGTGCCCCTAGAGCCTATTATTTTTTAATTACAATGCCCGGCTTGTTATTTTTCAACCTTTCCTCATTTCTAATTTAAGAATTTCAGGTTATAAATTCCCCTATAAGCATTGCTTTAGCTATATACCACAAATTTTGATATATCTCCATTGTTCAATACTAAACAGCTTTTAATTTGCATATTATAATTCAATCAATGATTATTTAGAGTTTTCTAATTTCCAAACAATAAGATCTTCTAATTTATTGATTTTTAACTTAAATGAATTTTGGTCAGAGAATAAGGTTTGCATTAAGAAATTTTTTGAATTGTAAATTCATAAATGTTCTTTGTGTGCTTCAATATATATGTTTTTGGTTTCATTGTTCTAAACATGTATCCCTTAGGTCAAGTTTGTTGATTTTGTTGTTCAAATCTTCCCTATCCTCAACCACTGACAGAAATGCATTAAAATTCTCTCACTAAAATGGCTGTTTTGTTCATTTCTCCTTGTAGTTACAGGAAGTTTTGCTTTATAAATTTCACAGCTACCTTTAAAATAGTTACGCCTTCCCAATGAACTGAACATTTTATCAATATGCAGTACTCATCCTTATCTGCAGGGATGCTTTTTGCCTTAAAATTATTTGGTCTAATATTAACATGACTATAGTATAATCCTTACCTTCTCCTTTCCTTGGGTTCTTTCAGACTGATTTTTGTTTTGTTCTTTTTACATTCCATTTTGCCTCCTACACTAGTTTTGAAGTTATACTCTTTTTCTATTATTTTAGTAATTATACTGGAAATGTTAATGCACGTATTTACATTAGAAGAGTAGAGTGAATCAAAGTGAAGTCAATCATGAAGCTGCCAAGAAATTAATAGGAAAAGTCAATGAGATAGATATCCCACATTATTTTTCTGTAGAGAGGGTTTTTAACATCTAGGAGGAACATGTTTGTTTCTTAAACCTCTATTTTTGTCCGTAGTTAATTCTGCTCTCTGTATTTCATTTGTATCTTTTTTTTAATATTTTTTTAAAGATTTTATTTATTTATTTGTCAGAGAGACAGAGAGAGAGAGAGTGCACAAACAGGGGGAGCGGCAGGCAGAGGGAGAAGCAGGCTCCCTGGTGAGCAAGGAACCCGATGTGGCACTCGATCCCAGGACCCTGGGATCATGACCTGAGCTGAAGGCAGACACTTAACCAACTGAGGCACCCAGGCATCCCTTCATTTGTATCTTCTTTTCTCTCTCACCAAAAATACCAATAGTATACTCCTGTCTCTTGAATGGACCTTGGTCTGACTTCATAATCTTAAAAATCTTTTCAAAGAATGAATTTTTTTAACTTTGTTGTTTTGCTCTGTATTCCATTAAATCTAACCTTATATTTTTAATTTCCCTCCTCTTGGGTTTATTCTATTGATCTTTTCCAAATATTCAAGCTGAATGCAGTTATTTTTAACCCTTATTTCCTAATAAAATATATTTATTCTGATTTCATCTTAGAGAATATTTAAAACAGAATTTT